TGAAGATGCCTCTCTTTGATTAATTTCTTTTACTAGAATTTTCTGAAGTGCAGTTTTTAAATTATTTTCATCCCACGCACCCTTTTTTCTACTATTCATATTGTTTAGGTGCAACTTTTAACCAAAATAATGAATATTAATACAAATAGGAACACACAAGATTAAAGGCCCATCTACATAAGTCGCAAACGCAAAATGCAAACGCAAACGCGGACGTTTCTCTATTTCTTTTCTTTTTTTTGACGTTTTTTTTCTTTTTTTCTCCGCGTTTGCGTTTGCGACTTATGTAGATGGGTCTTAAGGTTATTATTATAATAGCCAGTAATAGGTTGCCGGCAATAGGGGAAAACGTTTTCGTCCGGAACCAGGGGACAGTGAACCCATTAAACAAAAAAATTTTCTGTGAAAACCAATGCACAAAATACAAAGGTAATTAAAAAAATACTTATCAAAAGATATAATAACGCAACTTACACGCCTTTTGACCACGCAAATTGGTAGATATAATAATTTATAATTTATACCATACACCAATTTTCCGTCAAACGCAACAATAAGTCGATCTCCTTAACTATGCACACGCTACTGGAAAATATTAAAATCTGATCATTGTTTGATCTATCCCCTCTACGGTTTACGCGAAAAAATTACTTGGTAGCGATTCAACTGTTACAGATATAGCAATAACGTCCGGTATTAAGCCGTCCGTCGTTAGGGGAACTCCCTTTACCTACATCGCAAATAGAAATATTGTGATCGTGTAAAAAGAATTAATCTCGAGCATCATCGATTGTAGCATAGCTTTTTTTCAAAAGCGTTGTTTTATCATTGATTACAATAGTCACACAGTTTTATAACATCATCTAACGAATAGTACTAGTGAATTTTAAAGAATCTGATGTAATGTTTGTGAATTATCGTAAGAAAAGTATGATTAAGGAGGGGAGGGAGTAATATATTAATTTCATCCCTTTGACTTTCTCTCTCTCTCTCTCTCTCTCTCTCTTTTTGATTATTTTATTATAGATAAATAGTTATCTTTTTGCGCTTCTATTACTTACCGTTGCACATATGTCAATTAACGATAGAGAAAACGCCATTATTGGCATTTAGAAAGACATAAAGAGAAGAGGCATAAAGAAAATCACTTCTATTCATCGAAAGAGATTGATACAACCTTGATGGCGACAAGATTAGACATTATCAAAATTACTATAACTATAATGTTACTAATATCACTTTATCAATAATGTTTATAATATTGTAAAGAAAATGATAAGGATAAGCAAGTGCTTTTATTGTTAATAGGGTAAACCCGGTATATACGTCGCACCTATTAAAAACTTAATTTATCAGATATTGCCTATTAAGTTTAAGTTAAATGAACTATACCAGTAAAAACTTTATACTGTTTATTATTATAAAAAAAATATTAGAAATCCAAATTATTTATTTTTTATATTAAAAAAGCAATTTCTTTAAACACTTGCATTTTTGCCTTATAAAAATAGAGGTGGGTTATACGGTTACTCATGAGTGGGATAAATGACTCGAAAAATGTACAAATAATCTAAATAATAATAGTGAATAATACGACAACGTAATTTGCATTTTACTCATTAATAAATAAATAAAGAACGTATTATTACAGATTATGAATAAGTACGTACTGCATAAGTATATACGTGAATGTTATGATTAATGTATTGTAAAAGGCGTATT